GCAGTGTGCGCGCATGGCGCCCGTTACCCAGCAACGCGAAGCACGGCGACCAGTCGGCCAGTCAAAGCCTTAACGGGGCTCGGGCAAATCAATGGGGAATTTCACTCATGGACTGGGGCGGAAGTAAGAAGCAACAGCGGAAGAAAGAAAATGACCTCACGCTGCATCCGATCTTGGATCGGCGGTAAACAACAAGGAAAATTGACAAGTGCATACAATTGCACTCGGTTTTAATTTCACCCGAACGCAGCCAGGAAACCGCGTGGCAAAGGAGCAGAATTTGAACCGAACTTGGCTCGGCCCTCCCCGCGCGGCCGGCACGGCCGGCTCGGCCTCGGACACCTCGGCGCAGCTCAAAGGTTACGCGGGGCAAAGAATGTCAATTCCGCGGATAATTGGCTGAGCGAGATCGCATCGAACGCGGCCAGCGTCCAGCGGACACCGGCGACATAAAGGTTGGCGCTAATTAAAGAATAATTAAAGAAAAAGTCGAGGACGATGCGCCACATTTTGCGTTATCGCGCTGTAAACAACAAACAATACCCTGGACTCACCTGTGCTGCCTCTTGAGGTCCCTCCGGCCGCTCCGCATGAAGGGGAAACCGTGCTGCTGCTGGGGCCCTGCCGGCCCTGCCCCCATCGTCGCCGTCGTCCCCGGCCCCGCGTCGGGGCGGTCGGGGCCCCTGGAACCTTGGGAACCGCCTCTCGCGGGGCCCTGGGCCAGGTTGGCCGCCAGGTTGGCCGCCTGGCTCGCTGCTGGCGCCGACGACATTCTCGCTGGCTGCTACCTGCAGCCCGTAGGGAAGCCCCCCTGAGGGCTGCCGCTGCTGCTGCCGCCGGCCCGGCGGGGCCCGCTCAGGCCCCTCGGGGTGATCAGGGGCGCGGGGGCATCGCGCACCATCACGGACTGCTGTTCACCTGGGGGGGACACGAGGGTCACGGGGCGGCTCGGCTGGGGCGAGGCGTGGCGTGGCGTTGCGAGGATCAAGCCTACCCCCGCGGACTAACCCAATAAACTTATCAAGCAATCAACCACCCACATTTTCGATTCGACGAGCACGTCCGGGCCGGGGCTGGCGAGGCTGCCGTGGAGGCCGACCCTGCTGGGCATGTCAGCGTGAGCCCGCACGGCGCGCGCCCCGTGGAGCCCCGAGAGCAGGGCCGCGGGCCGCGCAAGGCTCCAAGGAAGGCGAAATGCTAAAGGTCGGTCGGGGCGAGCTCGCCTGAGGCCCTCTCGGGCCCTCTACTACAGGACCGCCGCGAGCGTGGCCGTGCAGCCCGTGCAGCACGCTGCCTGCCGCGCCGCGCCCTGCCTGGCCCTGCCCAGCGAGCGGCGCTCACCCCCGCCCTGCCTGCCTGTCCGCTGCGACCAGGGCTTGCTTCACAACGCGGTTCTGCCCTGAATAAAGATGCCGGCCGCGGGACGATGGACCAGCGCGTCAGCGTGTCAGGGCCACGTGGCAGCGGAGGCTGGACAACAAGCTGGCCCAGCTGGACAATGAACGCGGTACTACGTACCGCGGCACTTCACAGTGGTGTCGCGGCGCGACGCGTTTGCAACAGCGGCGGCATTGGCAGAACGCCACCACTATCCCAGATCAAACGGAGCGGACGATGCGCGACATTCAGTCAAATGGGCCGCGCTCTCGCGAAAGGTGACACCTCACTGCAGTCTCTCCCAGCATAGACCTCTCTCTCTCTCTCTCTCTCTCTCTCTCTCTCTCACACACACACACACACACACACACACGCGCGAGTAGTCTTTCTGATGCAGTCAGCTTGTCGACTCAAGTCGTCGCGGTCTGGTAGGTAGCCCTGATGGCACGGGGGGGGGGGGGGGGCAACGCAACGCCAGCAACGCCAAGCCACTTGTTTGCGGGTTTGTGGGTCCGGACGGCCTGGACCGTGGAGGAGAAGGCGAGGCTCACTAGGGCCCACACTGCACCTTGTGCTGCACTGCACCAACACGCGCGGCTTCGCGGCTACGCGGCCACTGCACTGACGGTCACGCCGGCCGACTCCCGGCCATCGCACTGGAAAACTGGAACCAACGACGGAACGACGGAACGACGCGCTGGACGGAGGGCACGGAGGGCCCCACGGCTGTGCTCCGGCTGGCCGGCAGACCGGCAGGGCGGCCAGTCACGTCGCGGCGCGCGGCGGGGAAGCGCGAAGCGAAGCGCCTGAGCTGAGGTTCAGCCGGTTACTGAACGCTCGCCGCTCGCTACGGTCTACAGTCGCCACTCGCCTCCGCGGCGGGGCCGGTGGGGCCGGCGGGGCCACGGGGGGAACAGGGGCCCATCGCACGGCAGAGGGGCGCGGGGCAAGGGCCGTGGGGCCGAGGGCCGCGGGGGAGGGGGGGGGGCAGCATGGCGGCAGCGAGTACCGGAGTCTCGGAGTCGCGGGGGAGGTGGGGCACCTGGAGTCGCGGCTGAGGCAGGCTGAGGTGGGGCGGGGCGCGCGTTCCACGCCACGCCACCGCGGGACCACAGCCTCGGTGCCGTGCCGCCGTGCCGTGCCGAACAAGAGCAACAACAGCATCTGCATGGGGGAACAACAACACCAAGAAGAGACAAGTACCCGGGGCTCGGTTTCCATTTCCACTCCACTACGGTTTATCATTGAGACCGTGGATTTCTTTTCCCCGGTGTCGTGATTCGCCGTTCGGCCGGCGAGGAACAGTGGGCCAGAAGACCGGTGGAGGCGGCCAAAACTCCAGACGCGTTTTGAGCTCCAGAGTCGCTAAATGGGGCTCGAACCGAACGTGTGACCCCACCAATGGATTGCTCTCCAAACGAGGAATCCATTGGTGGGGTGACACGCTCGGTTCGAGTCCCATTTAGCGCCACGTCTGGAGCCACAACGCGTCTGGAGTCTTTGGCCGGCCTCCAACAGGTCGCTTGCTGGCCACACTTCAAGAAGAGCCGTTCCCCTCGGTTCCTTTCGCCCGCACACGGTACGAGACCCTTTTCCCGGTCGATGTTGCGGCGAGAACAGGCTAGATAGTCCCGTGGAGTCAAAGGCCAACCTTGAGTCCAGGCCTAGCAAGGGCGACCGACCGTATACCGTGTGACCGCACCAGATGCTGACCTGCGTAGCCTCGCGCGGGGCGAATTCGGGCTTCCCGCTCCGCATGGGACTACCAGTCGTCTGTGATTGGCTGAGAGGGCCCCCCTTTGCGCATCTCTGACGGGAGGGTCTCTAGCACCAGCAGGGCCCCGTCAGACACAGCCAGACACTGCCAGATAGGGCCCGAAAGGGCGAAAGGGCGCCGCCCCGGCACGCCCTGGCCAGGTCTGTCTGTGGTCTGTGTGCCATTTTGATTTTGCCTTTGTGCGGCAGCCATGTAGACTACAGTCTAGAGTGTAGGGCCGCATGGCCGCAGACGTCGCGGACGGGGACGGGGCCTCCGCGCTACTCCCCGCCGCCCGCGCCGCGTTGCCACGTTGCAGCCCACAGCCATACTCCGCCAACATTCCGCCGATATCGGCTCGTAGAAATGCACAAATCATAGGCTGGAATTCTATTGAATAATCACCCGCCACCATCATGATCCTGATAATTGAAATAAAAGGTTGAAATAATTTTGCGAAAATTTGCTTTGGAATGTTGGTGGGGACGGTGTTTCCGGCAGTTCCGTCCGTCCGTCCGGCCATCCGTCTGTCTGTCCGCTTAACTCCCACGCCAAACCGACAACACTTAGCTTGGCCCCTCGACTCTCCCGCCTCACTCTTCTTCTTCTTTGGTCTACGTCGGCCACGTCCTGCCATAATGCGTACGCGCCGTTCGGACTTCCCTTTGGGCAAATACTAATGACCGACTCACACGCGCGCGCGCGCGCACACACACACACACACACACACACACAGCCAGTGAATGGCGCGGGAGCTTCTCCGCACGCCACGCGCGACGACCGGCAAAGCTGTTAAGCTGTCATTCGGAAAATTTAGCAGGGCTGTCGCTATTTGTTGATTGATGGTAATTTTGTGAAAAGGCTCAAAAGGCACTTGCCAGTCTTTTGTCGCAGAACATGAAGCTGGGGATGCAGTGGCCAGTGCCAGCACGCGAGTTGGTTCCGCTCGACGCGGTGGGGCTGCCATAGCCAGTGTGCCAGCCACCGGCATCTCCAGCCCACTACACTACACTACGGGCCCACAGGCCACTGCTCCGGGCATCAATCACACCTCCGGGCTCCGGGCCTCTGGCCTCTCCGCCTTCATTCCAGGCCCGAGGCAGCCAGAGGCTCGAGAGGCCAGCGCTCCGGACTCCGGGCGGGCACCACCTCCAGCTGCTCCAGCAGGTCTTGGACTTCCCCTCAGACGCGCCACTCCACTGTTACCGCGTGCGGTATGCCCACAACGCTAAGCGGTGCAGCGCAGCGCCGCGCCGACGGTGCAAAGAGTGGTCGACACCTACATACCGCGGGGCCGCGCGGAGCCTGGCGGAGCGAACAGGACATGTTGACTGTGCTGTCGACGTCCCCGTTGTAATGACGCCACGCCGTGCCTGCTGGGCCTGCTGGCCGCACGCTGGGCTGGGCCGGGCCGGGCCGCCTTGCCGGACGTCGTTTGCACCGCCACTCGGCCATTTTCATCTATTTGTCAGCGTCTCCGCCAGAGCCTTCCCAGATTAACGGCCGATTTGTTTCGCACTGAGAGGCGTCTTGACGTGCTTCGGGGACGCGACGCGCAGCGCCAAGCCACTTCGACGACGCCCCCGCTGCGCACCTCGCAGCCTCGCGGGTCTTGGACTTGGCCAGCGGCAGGACTCTGCCGCTCCGCTCCGCGCGCCGCTTGCCAGTAAACAATGGCACAGCCAAGTTCACACATTACCCAGACCGTTGTCAGTGAATACCGTTGCTTGCCGCAGCCTGGTCTCTGTTCGCCTCTGTGCCACCGAGGGTCTAGGGCCTCTTAGTGCACCGGACGTGCGTCGATAGCGCTCGCTGATTGGTTTGCCAGGGTGGGTGTCATATTCCTTTAAACAGTCAAGACTACAAATAACTCATACCCAGTTTATCATTTTAATTTAAAATCCATTCCTACATGAATAACCCATAAATAATCCCCTTACATTTTTTTTAAATAAATAAAAAATGAACACAAATACTTGCTGCCCAGCTGATATAAATCAAACAAAATCGGATCACATAAAGCTGTGAAAAGTATTGCAGATAAAAGTCACAAACAACTACGTACATAATCAGATTACATAGATACATACAATTCAATATTTTTAAAAATTGTTAAGACAATTGGAAGTACAAAATTGCCACAAAAACAATAACAACAGCAGTTACTGAGAGATAAAAGAAGGCAGACCGCTTATTGTCATCTTTCATTTCATTTTGATTCCTATTACGAGTTTTCCGACGACCTGTTCCTTCCATACGCTTCTGAAATCTTTCCGCTTCAATTCTAGCTTCTTCTTCTTCTTTAGCACGCCGTTTCTTGTTTTCATCAACCTCGGACTAAACACAGAAAAAAGAAAAATATGATTGTCACAACATTTCCTGGTGACTGCTAAATCTCTTAAGATGAACATGCACCTTGGAAGGACTGTTGATGTTACCTTTTCTTTTTGAAGTTTCAGCACCTCACATGTTTCATCACAGGGCAGAGAAAATTCTGCTGATCGCAAGATATCACAGCGTACTTCTTTCTTGACTCGTCGGCATGGGCAGTATGCCTTGGTTTTCTTTGCACATTTGTCAGCGTCTGGGCAATCCCCAGGATGGCAAAGTGCGGTACACTTGTGCCCACATGGAAACTGCAATTTGAATGGTCGATTAATTTGAGCATTTAAAGCCCCCTAGAAAATTCCGAGTGCTACTGGGTGTACAGTTCCACTCACACTTTTGGGGCACGGGCTCCCGCACGATGTTAGGGCTACTCGATCACAGCCGGGTTTGGTCCATTCCGCACATTTAATATAAACCTGAGTGACACCACAGTGGCAGCGCGGGCGCAGTGTGGCGCGGCACGGAGGACAGGGTGCTGGATGGCAGGGAAGAGGGCACTCATGAGGACAGCCCGGAGTTCTTGGAAGCTCACATGCATTTTCACATGTCTCACAGTCTTCATCACCCTATTGAGACAAAAAGAAAATTCGACTAGAGTGTCTTGATGGTTTCTTAAAAAATAATTGTATTTAACATTAAGGGAGTAAAACTTACATTGACAGTGTGGCATTCTAGGTCACAAAGATGATTTGTGCACTTCAAATTTCTACCACACTTTTTCCCACATGACATGGATTTTGCTGCATGACAAGGCATGGTTGTAGTGTCATGTTTTCCTAAACATATGACTTGAAGCGGTTCCTAATAATCAGAAAGGTTCGGTTTAATCAGTTTAGGGGCACCAGCATGATTAACAGTTACATAAAATAGCAGCTTGATGACAGTTACCGAGCAGGGTGGGCATGGAAGATTACGCTGCACAAGCTGCGGGGCAGCAAGTTCCCAAGGTCCAGCCGGGGCCTGTCTTTCCACCTTCATCCACACAGCAGAGTGGCACGGTTTGGAGCAGTTGTGACCACACTGAGAATGCTGCATGTTACACACTTGTGTACAAGGCGGACAGTGACCAAAATGACAGGCGTGATCTTCTCGCTTTTTGTGATGGCATTCAGGTGGATTCCTGCAAAGAATGAGATGAATAAACATTACCATCTTTTTTTTTTTCAAGTACCCGAGCTTAACGAAAGCACTGGCAGGCGGCAGGTACTCACAGACACAACTTGGAGCAGCGCGGCGCGCGCGTGCGTCTCTGCCGGCCGCAAGGCACGTGGATGACCGAGGCGCCACAGTTGCAGCTCACAGAGGCAGTCACGGGGCACGGGTAGCACGGCCCGCGGTGGCAGACAGACTCGCACTTGTGCTGGCCGCACGTCAGGGTGCGACCACAAACTTTCTCACAAGGAGGGCACTGAGTGTCACAGCACTAAGAAAAAAACACAAAAAAAAAACACAAAAAAAAACACAAAAAAAAACACAATAATAATATGAATAAAAAAACCAATTTCAACCATCAAAAATATTGGTAATAAATTACAAGGTACTCTTACCTTGCGATTGCAAGGATGACGGCCACAATCCTTGGAGCGTTTACATTTTGTTTCACACAGGAACTCCTTTGCACAAGGCAATTCCTTAGTATGCAAGCCACAGCGACATTGCTTGACTGTTACCTCAAGACACTGTTTGAATATTGAAGAAGTATTATTGATGGGCATCTCACTATTTCTAAGATCTCTGAATTTTTGAGTACGATCGACTTACTGTCCCACATTTGTCTTTGTGGCAGCGCTCAGGGCAAGCATGTACTCCACAGTTGAGAATACGATTGCAAGTATCCCCACATGGGGCAATCTCCTCTGTGCAAAGTATCTTGTACGATATTTTTCCACAAGGGCAAGAGCGGTTTTCACTTAGGGGACATGCCCCACAAGGTCCAGAGTGGCAGACCTTTTCACATGAATGGTGTTTGCAAGAAAGCCTCTTCCCACACACCTAAAAATTAGAAGATATATGTCATTCCATGCTAATATATTGGAAGTTTGTGCCAATTTACAATGGGAAAGACAAACCTTCTCACACTGCCAGAAGGGAGATGCACATGGTCGATTTTGCCGTTGGGATCCACACGCACACAGTTGCTCACTTTTTCTTGGACATGCTTCACATAAACCAGGGTGGCAAACGGCAGAACATCTGTGGCTTCCACAAGATAGAACTGCACTACATTGACTACCACATGACCAAGACTTCTGACTACATCTCTGAGGCCGAGGATTTTCTTTTTTACAATGACAGGGAACACGAACAGTCTTTGGGCATGGTGGACATGGTCCTGAAATTCAAAAATTCAGAAAAGCAACTTAAGGCATTATCGTACCTGTAGAAATGTAACAAATAAATTTTCACCAAAGGTTGCCCTTACCTGGGTGACACAAGAGAAGACATGTGTGGCCACAGGCCGGTTGCAAAGGCCTCCCACAAGTTTCACCACAAGAGTGAGGAACAAGCCATGCATGGTAGGCTGGGTCTTCCTTTTGTCCACAAAAACAGTAGTATCTCTGTGGCACATCATTACTCTCATATTCTTTTCTGCACTTTGGGCTGCACACCCCCAAATAAAAACAAGTAATAATTAATATATACAGAAAAGGAAAAATAAGAAGACCAAACCAAGCTCAAATCATTTACCATGGCCAAGTAATCTTCAAAGGATGTTTATCTCTGGGAAGGTCTTCCAATGCGTTTTTTTGATGAAGTAACGAGTCTTTCGCCCAACGCTGCGTGCATGTAAGGTGAAGAAAACAAAAGCAAGCTGAACAGCTCCAAACCTAAATGACAAATATAAAACATACATATAATTATAAAAAGATAAAATGGTTTCAAAATTTTTAAAAAACCCTGATTACTTACTGGATCAATTCTTTTGACACTGCCAATACATATGAGGCAAGTAGCCGCACCTGACTGAAAAGCTTCTTCAAGAAAGTGCTGGGTCCGTCCCAAATCAGCGTTTACACCACCCATTGCTGCATAGGTCTCAAGAACCGCTCCTAAGGATTGATTGTATTGAAATTAATGTGAGCTTTAGCCTTAGTGTTACCTTTTACAAAGCTTGACTCACCAACAATAGGATCAATTTGAACATCATCTTCCTCATCTGAAGACTGATAGTCTGACACAAAATGTTTTTTAGCAGCTTGCTCCATCTTCAACCTTGCTTCTTCAAACTTAGCAATGCTACTTTTCTCTTCAACTCGGTTGGTTTGCAAGTTCCCACTGTTCTTAGAACCACCCTGCTTCTTAGAGGGACCTCTTTTAGAACCGCCGCCTCCACCACCACCAGGCGCAGCAGCACCCCCTCCTCTTTTCTGGTGCCAAGGGTTTGGGCGACTTCCCCCATCTCTAGGTGCCCTTTCCATGACTAATTAGTGTGATCAAACGACTGCAAAGAAATGAGAATTTTTCAAGATAAAATACATAGCAGCTGTGCAGAGGAAGCTTCATGTGAGCATATTACAAGAATAACAGCCAATCCAGCAGATAAAGTAAAAGTATAAATTAGCGTGTACCAGCACAAAACTGTGAATATGGTAGCAGATAAATATCGAAACCAAACACTGTAAGTTAGCAATTAGCTTACAAAGCCGACTCAAGACTAACCTCCTCGCAGAGGCAACTACAACTATTAAACATACCTTTAGGCGATACATAAATTTGTTTTGTAGGGATTTACACACATGGTCTACATTAAATATGAAAATGAATGAAACTTATGGCAAAGGACGAGGAGACTGAAAATGAGAGGCAGATCGGTAGATTGACAAGTCAGTTGTCTGTCGGCTGTCGTCCGCTCCGCCGTCCTAGCAGACGCGTGTAGATTCACTGGAATAGCCAACCAGAAATTCAAAGCGTACACCATATCTGTCTTGAAAGGTGCTCCATCAGAAGACGCCTGCCGTAAAACTTGTTACAAACACACTTCAATATAATATTCAACAGCATGCCTGGTAACTAAACGGGAAAAAGTAGGATTTCCCCTCACTCATTTAGCCCGGCAACTTGCCCAGCATGTTGTCTCAAATCCCGGACGGGAGGGAAGACAAAAAACTCGGGGGGGAACCTTAACCCCTTATTTTGTTGTTTTTTTTTGTTCGGTGTTTAACTGTGGCGGATCGCGGTGAGGGTTCGGTTTTCGGTTCACATAATTGGAGAAGGAAATGTAGTCGTTTACGCCGAACCTTAAAGCAAAATAAGTGAACTTTTCAAAAATGTCTTAGATGCCTAAACTCTACATCTACCCATGAATGCCACCTTCGTCTGCTGTCACACGAAACAGATTGGGTCTCTTGGTCAACGAGTATGCCTCCAAAAGCCTCAACAAAATTTTAAAACTTGACAAGATAAGGTTGTCATGAATTAGTTTTCAAAGCAAACGCCAGAAACCTTTGTTCCGCAGTTTTCCCTGCCTGTAGGAAACGTTAGGCTCTTTTTAAAGAGTTTCGAGATTTCCCCCCAGACAATTCTATTTAGGAGAATCGACCTAAAAAACTCGAACCTAACCTTATTTTGTTGTTTGTTTCGTTTGTTGTTTGTTGTGACGTGTGCGGTGTGCGTGTGAGTGAGCTCTCGGAACTTGTTCTGAGACATCATTTTTTGTTTGATGAACAAATAAAGGCGTTTATCTGAAGTTCGTTTAATAGACAGCAGAACGCCAAAGTCGATAAACTGTCATAAGACTGTCTTCAATCGCCTACTCCTACATCTACCACTATGAATGAACCACCTTCGTCTGCTGTCACACAAGACTTTGGAGATAATGGGTCTCTTGGTCAATCTAATGTGCTCTCCAAACGCCTCAACAAAATTCTTGAAACCCGACTTGACACAGATAAGGTCTGATCATGAAATTATTTTCTTTGCCAATGTTCCATGACGCTTTGTTACCAAGTCTTTCCTTGTCCTTTAGGAAACGTTGGAGGCTCTCAAAGAGTTGTCAAACTTCTTCCCAGAAAATTCTATTCAGTCTCGCAGAAATCTCCGAAGTAAAATTGAGAAACGTAGTTTGGCAATTAATGAGGTATTCTTGTGCATTTTTGTTTCAAATGTCAGATTGGTTCTGCAATATTTTTTAAACATTCTAATTTTGTCAATGACAGGAGTTCTTATCGGCTTTTGGTAAGGTAAAAGATGCATTAGATAGTGTTTACAATGATGTGGTGTCAATAGACTCTGAAGTGCGAGCCATGAGTTCTCATTTGCAAGCAACACGAGCTCAAACTCATCAGCTCATCGATCATACTACTCAACTTCAAGCGCAAAGGTATGCTTTTATCGGATTTTGCCCTGTTTTCAATCTCAAATCTCAATTGTTATCTTGTAAGAAAGTAATTTTGGTTTTTCTAGCAAAAAGTTGACCATGGAACAAGAGGTGGCTAATGCATTTCTTGAGCGCTATCAACTGTCACCAGCAGAACTCGCAGTTTTACAAGGGACCAGTAGGGACTCCCCGATTACTCCAGCATTTTTTACTGCTCTTCAACGTGCTCAATCTATCCATTCTGATTGCCGCGTGTTGATGCAATCCGGGTTTCAAACAGTAGCTTTAGATGTTATGGAACAGATGTCATTGTACCAGGTATGGCAGGAACCGGCAGTTATGGACCAAAATAGAAACCCGAGGAGTTATCTCACAGGTTTAATTAAATTTATATTGAACAATTTTTATCACTTTTCAAGGAGGCAGCCTTAGAAAGATTGTATCGCTGGACTCAGAGCCACTGTCGTAGTATGGAATCAAGTGAAACAGCAGCACTACTTACAGAAGCCATGGCATGCCTCCAAGATAGACCTGTACTCTTCAAGTGGGTTTCAAATTGTTTTTATTTTTTACTTGTTCTAAATTTATACTCATATGACCTTTTTATTATTTATTTTCAGATATGTACTTGACGAATATGGAAGCTGTAGAAGAGCGAATCTAGTTGGCTTGTTTATTGATGCTTTAACTAAGGGTGGACCAGGCGGTGCTCTGAAACCCATTGAAATGCATGCTAATGATCCAAAGCGCTATGTTGGAGATATGCTAGCTTGGTTGCATCAGACCATACCATCGGAGAGAGAAAGTTTGATTGCCTTGTTGAGAGAATGTTCTAAAACCGGTACATAAAAATTTGTATTTATCTTAATAAGATTGTAAAAGTGTGAGGAAATAATTGCTTTATTAATTTTAAAAAAATCCAAATTTAAGATGTTACAGAGCACATCCACCAGATTTTGGCAAATATTACAGAGGGAGTGTGCCACCCACTGAAAGTGCGTATTGAACGTATACTTAGTACCGATGCATCAACAACAATACTGTATTCAGTAGCAAGTCTGCTTGGATATTATCATCAAATTTTTAGTCAGGTACAGGTCAATAGTAATAAGTACAGTAGCAAAATATTTTTTTCTGATAAAATTAATTTTTGTTGTAGGTTGTCCCTGAAAGCATTTTCTCAAACACGATTGCAGAAGTGAGAACTCTAGCTCAGAATCGTTTCTTAAGTGCGCTGCAAAATCGAGTCAAGCAACATTTGGTTGATCGATTAGATGCTCCACCTCCAGACCTATCGCCTTCAACAAGTGTATCTGCTCTCATGTCGTTGTTGAAAGAGGTGTTGTCAGTTGCTGGAGTGGCAGACGGGCGCCCCGAAGATATTGCAAAGGTATTAAATTTGATATTTTGTTAGGAAAATTGAGTTTGTTAGAGGATATTACCTTTGCTTGAATGTATTTTTAGACTTCACACTTTTATGAATTCTCTCTTTTCAATGTAGATGGTGGGAGTTGTCCTCGATCCTTTACTTCAAGCTGTGAATTTGAGTGCAGCTCGATTACCTACTACAGACATGGCAGTGTACCTCCTGAACTGCCTGTATCAGATGCAGGCCACTCTCTCCCTGTATGGTTTTATGGATGATAGACTTGAGAGGCTACAGGTGGTTCAAATTGGTTAAATTGTGTTTCAGGACAAGTGTTTCATAATGCCTAATTTTCACTACTATTGTAATTTTATTTACTCCCACAGGCACAATCAGATGCCCAGCTTGACACATTGACTTCAGAACAGGCTAGCTCTTTAGTGGCCAACCTTAATCTTGGACCAATTTACACAATTCTGCAAGAGACAAGCAGGGGTCCTCTATCTAATGTTCCTGGTATGGATGCCGCAAGTCTCAAGCACTTCCTAGTATGTATCAAATCAGATTATATGGAGGCTGTTAGGTATTGGAGTAAATCAAATCATTATTAAAACACAATTTTATCTCTTTTCCAGGTAAAGCTTGATGCATTTCTTGGTCTTCCAGATATGTTATTGTTGCCTCAAATTTCATTGTTGCTTAGCACAGTACATCGTAACAACGTGAAGCATCGAGCTTTTGAAGTAATATGCACTATTTTTAAGCAGCTGTATGTTGCTGTTCATGATCCTGTTAATGGATATCAGAATCCAAATGGTTTAATTCCTCGAACTCCTGAACAAATTCAGGAACTTCTTTTAGGCGATAGGCAGTAATTAAGATACGAATCTGTTATGCAAGGGTGTGTGTTGTAAATAATTAAAAAAGAGCCAAAGACTTTACACATATTCATCTTTATTTACAAACGAGACATATAGTTTTCAATACACAATGATTCAATTTGTTTCATTTTAATTATTTTTTGTTCAGTCTTAGCAGTTGTATGTACAATACTATATTCACTCTTACTCATATTCATTCTCATTTGCACAATGATTGAACCCAAACTTTACAACAATACAAATCTTTCAGAAACTCTGATCGTTTTGAAATAATCCACAGGCAGATCAGCAACCCATGACAAACTTTAACAGCACAGATTAGATTTTCTTCTCCCACTTAACCACCTAATCAAGAACTAACATAATCACCATGAATTGATATAGTGAGGAACAGGATAAAATCGGCAGAGTTACAGCGGGTAAAATGTACTTGTGCGGTTTTTAAAAGGGATATGGCACCATGCTGAGGTGCATCTGCATCATCAAATGACACTTCACACTTCATTTTTCTCCAAATATCTGGAGTACAGAATCGGTATCACAATTTCTTTCTTTTTTGAGTCCAATATATCAAAAAGTTCCTGCTTTGATCAATGTTTGCACTACTCATTGCTTGTCTCTGTTGGTTACAAAGCTTGATGGAACACAATAAAGAAAAACTATACCCCACTGAGTGCGCAAGGTCCGTCTTAAGTTTAGATGGATTTGAGAGGTTAAACAAACAAAGAATAATACTACGTAATATTAGCACATGAAAAGGCTGGTTCTTTTTTGGAACCCATATTAATCCGAAATTTGAGACAGATACAAATTTATAATATGATCAACTTCTATTCCGACTGTGCACTACTATCAGTACTTGCATTTCATTTCATTATTGTGGATATCCAGCTACCCTCTAGAGGATGGCCAGAGTGTAAATGAAACAAGTATATTTACAAAGCATTTCAAAAAAGTACGAATAAGGTGTAAAATCCAGCACCTTACAAAGACTTGCAATAACTGGGTAAGATGTGGCTATTGTGTGACCAAAACGAGTCAAACCAAAAATCTCCAGAAATTGATCACTTCTATAACTCTAAAATAGATTTTGTCAGCCTGGAGACAACTTTGCAAACATTACAGGAGAGCAAGAAACACTACTTACAAATCATTATGTTTTAGGACTAGTTCATTTGGTTTGTTAGATGGATTCTATACACTCTTTTCTACTTGCAATCTCATGAACAGAAAAATTTGCAGTGAAAATATTTACAAGAACAATTTAACAAACAGAACGGAATGAAAAACACTTAAACAAATATATTCTTTTTAGAATAAAATAAGATACTCAACAATAGTTTGAAGAAGGCTTGAACTGTGTGTCTGTCCAAATTGTTTCGTAATGTCAATTTTGACTCAAGAAGCCAGGCCAAAGAGCATGCCGAATGATGTTATGGGAATTCTGAAGATCTGATGAAGCCCAGAAAACAATGAAAGATCAAATAAAATTTAGAAACAGTTTGGCAATATGGAAGAAAATGAGCGTTATTTAATTAAAACTACTTTTAAACTTCATTTTGTGATAGAATTGTAAACTTGCAACAATTACTCCCTAATAGGCAAGAGATTTTCTGTGAAAAGAAAGCAATACACACGGACAAGATAAAATTACAATTGATAAAATTGGTAAAGACAGAGTTCATAAGAAATTAAAAGTAAAAGGCTGAGCAATTTCAGGTTCTGTACTCACAGACTACAAACAGAGCTCATTCATACACATCAATTACAAGTTAGGTAATTGGATTCTGTGATATTTCCTTGACCATTAACATCTCAATGAAAGGGAAATTTTCTAAAGACAATGGAAAATAATGAAAACCAAACATGTATACTGAAGTGCAGCACAAAATTTAACTACAGCTCACAAGTGGAGAGAAATTCTCTCTTAAAAGAAAAGGTACACATTAAAAGTACATATGGAATATAAAAAGGATTAAATGAAAAAAACAATTTCAATGGTAAAAAGATTCTTGCACAATCTTGGCACATAAACCAAATAGTGTGACAGTTATCATATAGCCTTGCACATTTAAGATGTTGTGCCATGCAATTTATAGTAATTTTCCAAAAAAAAAAAAATCTGGTCAAGGGAGAGAATACAGACACATATAGTAGATTTTTTCACATAACATACTAGGTTATTAAATATTTACAAACAAGTGTGGCAAACCGCCATTTGTACCATTAAAATGAAATTAATTTCAACAACTTTGCCATTTCATATCAGTCACTCATTACTGTCAGCAACAATGCTCCCGAAATCAGAGACAGGGTTAAGTGCTTGACCAAAAAGACACATCCTCAGAGGGGAAATAATGTTTTCAGATTTTCAGTCTTCATTTTGATTCAGTCTGCCAAATGTTTAGTAAGTTGTCTGTTTAAAAGTCTCATGCCAACTGAAAGGGATAATACAGCAGGCCTCATTGGATCCTGATGATTATTTGGACAAATTGATATCAGTTTAAGACTAGTTTAAACTATTAACATAAAAAATATGTTTAAAAATTAATCTTTCAGCCCTTTTTTTCATCAGTTTCTCTTTCCTATTGATACTTGTGTTTACTTTGGTAATCTGTTCCCTTGTTGTTGAACTGAAGTGGACGTGCAATTAAGTTTACAGTTTCGAGCGCCACTCTGAGGTGAACAGTTTCCACAGCACATTGGCTGTGGAATGTTACTTAAATTCATCCACAATCAGCAAAAATTAACTCTTCATAATAAATCAAAAGGGGAAAAATAACGCACAATTTTACACATACAATTGAAATGAGAAAAAGATGACATGCTTGGTCCCAAAACATAAATAAAAAACAACAGGGGCCAAAAATGCAACCAGTTTGCCTAATGTAGAACAGTGAAGAAAAGAAAATAGATTTTTGTAGTGTTATTTCCTGAAATTATCTTGAGGTAGCGATTATTTACGTTGTTAATACGAGGAAAAAGACGTAAACAGTCGCCACAGGCAGGTAATTGACAATCACCAAGCAATGCATGATGGCAAACAGAAAGAATAACAATTTCTTATTATGGCAAACAAACAACTTACAAAAAAACAGCATCAAATGAATCCATAAGCCAAAGCACTGGGTTCTCTAACATCCATTCCAGTATCAATGCTATGGTGACATGGTGCAATCCATTTTTGTTTTCATAAAATAAACAATAACCAGAAACAATGCTAAAATCTTAACAAATAACATTACAACAAAGGTTCGTGTCTGTAAAATCATTATATACACATACATACATATATACATACACTCACTTATGTAAATATATAAACTATACATATATTTATATATGTACAATATAACTCTCTTGGCGCAGCGTTCTAGAGCCCTTCCAGGGTGGACACAAAATTTGGAAAACCAAATTCCCAGACCTAAAACCAATTTTCCCTGGCGTTCCTTCGGCGGGTCTTCGGCGTCTTCGGCGTGCCTTCGGCCTTCGGCGTGCCTTCGGCGTGCCTTCGGCGTGCCTTCGGCCCCGCCATCCCTCCTCCACGCCGGCTAGCTGCTGTCCCGAGCGGACTGACAACCATCCGACTGCAGCCAAGCAGCCCGACACCGGCATCAAGCCGTAACACCGGCATCAAGCCGTAACATTAACATAGTGGAATTCATTTCCCACCAGCAAAATGTCCTCCCGGAAAGGGATTATTCTCATGAAAACAGCTCAGTCTGCCGTGATAGATCTTCTAACTGCTTCTTATGCCGGGAACGCTCCTCCTGAAAAACAAAATCATAAAGTTGAAAGAAATTTAAGAGTAAAGTTAACAAATGGGAGGAGCACTGCAAAATAAATCACCTCAAACTGCGATAATTTATTGTTTAAATTACTGCGTTCCCGGTTGGGTAAATGGGACATGTCTTGCTGCAGGGCTAGCACCTCCTCGTTCTGGTTCTCCAGGACGTTGGCCATGTGCTGTTGCGTCCGTTTCAGGCTGTTCAACGGGTTCAGTGGCTGCAGTGGCTGCACTGACATGCCTATCACCCCCTGCGCCGGGAATCTGTCCGATAAAGGAGCTGAAAAAATGGAACGGCATTAAATGTGCATTCAAATTGCCATTATGTAAATCGTCAAACAGGTGTCGAAGTCGAAAAAGCACTACTCACCCTCCAACGTCGGGTACAGGGCTAAGTTGTCCTCCAGGTTCAGGGTCGGCTCGGCTTGCCCCTGTATTGACTCCGGCCGACCCCACCCCTCTTTTGGGAGTTGGTAAACCATGTCGTGGACCTGGTAGATGGCCTGGCTCGACGACGACGGACTGGAGGCGGCGAAGCCGGCGTCAGCGAGTTCACCGTCAGCTCCTACCAGGTCACCGGGGAGGTCCAGGACGGAGCAGAGGGGCCCCAAGGCGTCCCCCATGCTGCCCATGCTGAAGTCGCCCAGGAGGTTGGGGTCGCTGACCAAAGGGTCGCCGACCAAGGGGTCGCTGACCAAGGGTTCGCCGGGAGGGTTCGCCGCGGAGGGGAGCCCCACCCCCACCGGCGACTGGCGCACCACCATGCCGGGCGTGGGCACGAGCACCGGGACCGGCACGGGGGCCAGCATGGGGGCCACCCTCTGCGCCGGGTGCTGCGCGCGCTGGGGCTGCAGCGGGACCAGCCCCAGCTCCGGCGGCACAGGCAGGGCGGGCAGGGCCGCGCGGCTGGGGCCGGCCAGGGCCGCGTCCGGCGCACCGAAGCGCACGCGCTTCAGGTCCCCGCCAACCACGAGGCCGGGGCCGGGCTCGTCCGCGGGGGCGCGCTTGCAGGTCCTTTTAATGACTCCGACGCGCTGCGACCACACAGGAAAAACGGGGTTAGGTCCACGCCCAATCAAGTCCCCGGTGCTGGCCGCCGGCCTTGCCCCTAGCCTCACCTGGGGAGTCTCCGGAGGCCGGGGAGGCATCTCCGGGTCGTCGGCGAACGTGTCTGCAGGTGTGTCGTCCGGCTGGAAACGAAATGGCCAAATGTCATTTTGGAAACGGATCAACTAGATGCATCCATCACAATCAAGTGCTTACTTACCAGTTCAATGAACTTCGGAGACTTCGCTAAAGCTTCCTGATCTACGTCTTGTATCGCCGAGAGGTTTCTTCTCATATCATTCTGTACCCTGATAGCTTCAGCGCGCCTGTAGAAATTAAGAGAGTATATAAATGGCAGTTTAGACGTAGTCACAGCCGAGGGTAACATCTAAATTAACAGGACTTACGTGACCCTCTTGTTGATGCACACGAACGAATCGTATGCATGGGTATCGGGGTTCTTTTCCAGGAAGCCCTCCGTCCGTAGGAAAATCCAGGCGCCATTTCTCCCTCTGAGGCGGTACACGGAGAACCCAGTAGGTATGTTATTTTTGAACACTGAAAAAAATAGAGGCGATGATAAAAAACAAAACCGTTGATGAGAAGTATGAACTGCGGTCGCCTCAGCAAGAGAAACAAGCGACGTACTTTGTTCCAGCGCCACTTTCGCCCATAGGCCGTCTTTAGGATGCATGAATTGAAACGCATTGGACCCCACCACTTCACTCTGCATGTAGCCCGAGACGAAGGCGATGCTGCAACAGAAAACAACACAAGCACAGTCAGAGACAGAATGGGGAACGGGCAACGCTACGCACCGAGACGGGCGACGCGACGCAACGCGACGTACCGGTGGTCGGACTCGATGAAGCAGCCGTCCATGGTGTGCCGCGTCTTGTACTCATCGTTGCAAAGCGGCAGGATGGCCGTCGTGGGGCAGGGCAGGTTGCGGACGAGCTGCATGGCGAAGGCGAACAGCACCGTCCTCTCCGAATCTGCGGGCCAGGGCGCCAGTCACGACAAGATCGAGCGGAGCAAGCTTCGACAGAGAGGCCTGCCCGCAGGCGAACTCACCTTGAGATCTTCTCCGGTGGCCGTGCGACGACTCCCGGGCGCCGGCCGCGCCCGGCACGTCGATGAGGATGAGCTTGCCGGTGCCCTGCACCCTCTCCCACTGCGGCTCCTCCCTGCCCGTCGCCTTGTGGTGCACGTGCACGCGGAAGGAGCGCGACTGGTACGTCCTCATGGCCGTGCCCGCCGTGCCGCCCGTGGTGGCCACCGCCGACGACGGCGAGCTCGGCGCCTCCCCGACGGGCGAGTCGGCGGACGTGCTGGTGGACGTCCCCGTGTCGTCGGAGCTGGAGTCTTCCGACGACGCGATCGACTCCAAGGCTGCGGAGAAGAGCCATTGCCAACCACCCCGAGCAAGTCAATCGCTGAGCGCCTGCCAGCCGCCAGGGTAGGCCAGCCCGCCACGCAGGCGCGCGTGGAGCACGGCCTGGCGGCCTACCTCGCAGGCGGCCGGCCCGGCCTGCCGCTGCTCTGTCTCTCTCGCACCTCCACGCGACACCACGTGAGTGCGACAGAGACGGACCGGCGGTACTCGTCTTCGGAATCCAGTGTGCTGCTTACCTCTAAACGGCTCCCCGTCCGGCTTGAGGCACAGCTGAATGCTTTGGTGATCCTGCTCGTGGACCAGCTTCTTGAAGTCCAGCCCCAGGAGGTCCACCTGCAACAACGGGCCACGCAGCGGTCACTCACACGCAGGGACGCAGGGCGTACGCAGAGCGGCATGGCACGGGCCCTGGCCCCGGCCCGGCCGAGTGGGGGAGGCTGGGGACTTTCTCCCCTAAATTACCGTGGACTCCCATGATGTGGAGCGTGGTCCAAAAGCGGCCGTTTGAATCGAGCTCATTCCGCGGTCGTCATTGGACAACGAGCTCGCTCCACCTAGCCTCCCCCGCCCCCGCCCCGCCCCGCCCCAAGCCCACGCACGCCCCCTCGCCCCCCGGGGGCTGCGGCCGCGCCTGGACCCGCCCCCACACCCATGCACTCATCACGGGGGCTTTCTTGACGCGCGGGGGGCCTGGCGGGGCCCTGGTGGGTGGCGTCCCGGCCCGGCCCGGCCCGGGGAGCGCGACCAAGCGGGCCGAGCGCGGCGGGCGGGGACTCGGCGCCACGCTGGGTTCTCGTCAAGTGGATTCAAATGAGACAGACAGGGGGCGCGACGCGCGACGCGCCGGGCCCGGCCCAGCCCGGCCTGGACGTCAGTGCGCTGTGCACTCACTCAGCCAACGACCCCAACGCCTCTCCCTTCCCGCTACATGGCAAACGGGCCCGGTTAAACCAATCCAAACACCCGCGCTTGCCGCAATCAAACTTCAATTGGATCACAATATTTTGCCCCCATAAAGAAAAGTCGATTTTCCGCCAAAAGGACACAGAGTAGCTACTGTTCGAACTCCAACTTGGTCTCTCCCTCCCTTGCTCTCTTCCTACCCCCGACAGGCCGCCAATGTCACGTTTCCCGTCGTCGTGGGATTTGGGGAAAGAGGGAGGGGGCTTTCAGTTGCCTAGCGACGAGCGGCAGCGAGCGGCAGCGAGCGGCAGGCGCCTAGTGAGCTCACTCGGCGGCCCGGATCACCTCGACAGCGGACCGAAAAGCCCTCGGATGTTAGTCTACTTTGAACCTTTTTACGTCATTTCCAGATTAGAACGTCAGTACAGTATTTAACCCTGGCTGATTCAGGTTACAGGTACGGGTCTCTCGCTCCGTCTGCAAAAGAACTCACCTCTTGGTGGCCGAGGTAGTTCTCCACCCCTTTGTGGACGTACACGATCTTCCCCGATTGATCCAGCACGAAGAACATGGCGCCCAAGTGCTGCAAAAAACCAAAGCGTATCACACACCGTTCATCACAAGTGTACACACACGCACACAGGGCCCAGGCCTTGGACCAGCAGGGCCTGAATCTGAATGCTCACCTCCAGGACGAGTTCTTCGCACTCCTGCCCGATGTGGAGGCGGCTCATGGGCTGGGTGAGGCTGCCGGAGGCCTCGAACAGGGTTTTGAAGACTGCAAAAAGCAACAACGTGTCAGACGAGCGAACTACGACAACAAGGAGACAGAGACAGAAGCAGTCGGCATTCTCGACTCACTGTGGTGCTGCCGCAAGAAGCTGGCACTCAGCCGCAGGATGGTGATCTTGTCCGGCCGCTTGGCGCACTGCTTGACGAGGGGCACCTTCTCGCCCATCTCGTTGACCAGCTTGGCCACGCGGTCCCTGCGCTGCTTCTCCGCCTTGTTGCGCAGGAGCCGGCTGCAATCAAGCAACAACAACAACGTTAGCACACTGCCAAGTGGTGACATTTCTGCGTGCGTTTGCAGTGCGACTCCTATACCGAGAGCGGCTGGGCTCGTTTGCAGTGCATCGGGCTGCAGCAGCGTGCCCTGCCGGCCGGACCTGCACTCCTGGCCTTCTGGGAAGCCTGCTCGGAAGCCCCGGGCCTCGCAGTCAGACACAACACGGTAACACGGGGCAGCGAACCGCGGCGTGTTGACAGCGCGTCGCACGGAGCGAGCAGAGCGGAGCGGAACTCCCAACTCCCAACCCGGCCCCAGCCCAGCGCAGAGCCGGCCGAAATATGCGGTCACGGAGGTCGCAGAGCGCTTGGCTTTCCGCGCGGTCCAGGAGGACTGAACCGGCCGGAACCTGGGGGCCCCGGGCCCCGCATTCGTGTCGTCCCCGGTCACTACCGTCCGCAGGACCCACGAGTCTCTGCAATCCCGGTCACTGCGAGAGGGAGCTAACCAGGACCTCTGCATCTCAACCCGAAAAGGACCTAGATCCTGAGACGCTGCATCTAGGGCGCGTCGGCGCGGAGGGGCTGGTTGCCGCTGGTTGCGCAGGCCAGTGCTTGGCCCTATCGATCGGGCCGGCCGCCTCCGAGGAGGAGGGGGGAGCAGAGGGGGGAGGGTCAAAGGGGAGGGGGGGGGAGCCAGGTGGGGAGCTCTGACCCCTTCACGGCCGCCCTCGCCCCGACGCCCCGCCGCGCCAAACTGCATTGCACACAATTGAAAAGTTGGAAAAAGATATTGCGGCGTGAAGGGCGAACGTAAAGCCAGGGGTCACTCGCCGACAAGCGGGGCGGGGCGGGCGGGGCGTCGACCCGGCCGTACCGCGCGCCGCGCGCCGTGCGTCCACCTTGGACGTGAACTTGGTACGCGTCGGCGGTCTGGGTCCGCGTGACTTGCTGAGGCGCTTCGCGGCGCAGCCTGCAGCGCAGTACAGGGCCGCCAGACAGTGCTTCGTCGCTCTGTCCTGCTCGCACCCCTACGTAAGGGCCTTACCCCTACGGGCCTTTCGGCCAGCCCGGTGCGGGAGAGAGAGAGTGAAAGCACCGTTCGGATTCTGCCTACAGGGGCTCATCTCCCGAGCGTCGCGCTGTCGCGGCCGCGCGCCTCCTGAGAGCTGCTCCACATGGCGGTCGACCGCCGGGCCGCGAGCAGGTCCCGAACCCCCCCATTAAGCCACTTGCGCGCGAGGCAGACGACCACAGCACGGCGCGGCAGGCACGGCGCGACGGCGTGTCGAAGGCACGGCGACGAGCGAGCCTCGCCGGAGATCCACACGCCACGCCTCGGCATGGCAATGAGGGATTCGACGCCGGTGTGGGGTGGGGCACCGCCAGGCACTGCTGCGTCCGACGCCAGCACAGCACGCACCGCGCCCACACCTCGCACGGCACCGCCACACCGCAGTGCCGCCGTGTCCGCGTCGCCATAGGGCAGCCAGCCGTCGCTCTGTCTCTCTCGCACTCATGGGGCGGTCCGTAGGGGTGCGAGAGAGACAGAGTGACGAAGCAGTGTTCGGAATCAGACGGCAGGGCAGCCAGGGCGGGCCGACGACGGCGGCGTCACGCGCGCCATGGCCGTGGCGGTCACGGGGGACTTGTTGCCGGCCGGCGGGGCGGCGGGGCGACGCGGCCCGAGGGTCACGGAGTCGCCGCCGGCCGCCGTCAGCGAGATGGATGATGAACGCGGTGTTGCCCTTGGTCAAGGACGTGCAGGGCCACTAGGACCCCACGGCCGGGCCGTCTCGCCCTCGCCGTCTGGCACACTCGCAGCACCGCGACTTTACGAGACGGCGAGACGCACGCCTCACCTCGGCACACCGGAGCCACCGGGCCGGAGGTTGCCGTTGCCATGGAATCCGAGCGCGACAGCGCGCCACTCCATTGTGATCCAATCAGGAGCCCCCCTCCCTTTTCCTGCTGGCAGTCGCAGTGCTCGCCACCCCGCCCCGCCCCGCCCCGCCCCGCCCCGCCCCGCCCCGGCCGCTGTGCCCCGCAGAGCCACATTGATTTTCAGGGCCCTTCTGGGGCAGGGAGGGTAGGGCAGGGTAGGCTCGGCTCTGTGTGAGATGCCCGCCCGCGGCCCCTGGGTCTGGGCTGGCTGGGCTGGGCCTGCCGGGCTGGGGCTGGCTGGCCCGGGCTCTCCTCGACCTAGCTCACTCCGCCCCGCGTTGCGGATTCGGGTCTGGCCCGGCCTATGGGCCCGGCCTATGGGCCCGGCCTATGGGCCCGGCCTATGGGCCCGGCCTATGGGCCCGGCCTATGGGCCCGGCCTATGGGCCCGGCCTATGGGCCCGGCCTATGGGCCCGGCCTATGGGCCCGGCCTATGGGCCCGGCCTATGGGCCCGGGCCGAGGGGGGCGCCACTCCGCGGACAGCCGGACAATGACTAAAATTGGATTGAGTGGGATGTTTGGGCAATGACTTTTGTGACTTTCAAAAATTGTTATTGAGTGTAAGTGATTTTAGACTTTTTTGATTTTTTGTGACTTTTTGCCTGACTTTTAACTGACTTTTTATTGACTTTTTGACTTTTTAGTGACTTTTTGACTTGTGAATGACTTTTTTGACATGTCAGGTAAGCGGGCGGGGGTGCTGCACAGGTAGAGCTAACGATGCGGGCCCCGGGGTTTGGGCGCCAGTGACCCGCGGGCCCCGCAGGTCGCGCGGAAGTCAGTCCAATCACAACACTCGGGGAGACGCACAAGCAGACGCACGGGCACGACAGACGGATACGTTTTCACTGAGCAAGGGCTGCAGGGAGACTGGCACAGGTCCGGACCTGCGTGGCCGAGGAGGCCGGCGGGGGTGTCGAAGCCTTTTGTTCACCCCTTGGCTTGGCGGGAATGTATCGGCGCTTTTCCGTCGCGTTGCTAGGCGCGTTGCTGGTTCTCTCTCCTACGTCACCCCGGGGCGGTCAGGGGGCCGTCCGAAAGCCATTCCAAAAGGTTCGAGAAGGTTTTCGGTAAAGAACGGCCAGGAAAAAGGGCCAGTCCCCAAAGAAGTGACACACTGTTTGCAGACGCTCCCGCAATTAGGCAAGGTCATAGAGCTCGGCGAGGGAGGGTGAGGGGGCCGCCGCCAGCCGGGGCGGGCATCCCGGGTCTGCCTCGGGCCTGCCTGGGCCCCGGGCCGCTGCGCCGTCAGGATGTTTGGACACAGCTGCTGTCAAAATTGCCCTAGAAATTCAATTCAACATCGTTCTAGACCGTGGAAAGGCGCTAAAACACGCATGTCCCCTTTAAAGATTTGTAAAATTGAGCAAAATACAAGTGTACTTGCACTTTTGCTGAGGAGTCAATCGTAAACCCAAAGGCCATTCAAAGGAGGTCCGGACCCACGTCACTGTCATCTGTTGTCTCTGAAAGAGCACACCGGCAACACCCCGGCTATATAGGGATTGCGCCTCGCCCCCTCCCCCTTCCCCCTTCCTCTCTCCTTCTCCCTCTCTCTCTCTCTCTTTTCCTCCTCTCTCTCTCTCCTTTTTCTCTCTCTCTTTCTCTCTCTAGGGGTGAACCTCTGGATAAATCTCGCATTGCTCAAAAATTTTGAGTGTAAAGGACTTTATTTGAGTGGGGGTGATTTTTTGACTTTTGGTGACTTTTTTGATTGAAAAGACTTTTTGATTTTTGGTGATTTTTTGATTGTAAAATTGACTTTTGGAGCCCCGGACAATGACTTTTCGAAGGGGCCCCCCTGGGCCCGGCCTATGGGCCCGGCCTTGGGCCCGGCCTATGGGCCCGGCCTATGGGCCCGGCCTAGGGGCCCCGGGGCCTATGGGCCCGGCCCCTATGGGCCCGGGCCCTATGGGCCCGGCCTAGGGGCCCGGCCTAGGGGCCCGGGCCTAGGGGCCCCGGGCCCTATGGGCCCCGGCCCCCTATGGGCCCGGGCCCTTAGGGGCCCGGGCCCTATGGGCCCGGCCTAGGGGCCCGGCCTATGGGCCCGGCCTATGGGCCCGGCCTATGGGCCCGGCGCCCCGTATTTACATGGGGCCGGGCTGGGCCGGTCATCGCGGCCCGTGTGAGACGTCGTGGCTCCGACAAGACGACGCCGCACCTCCCCGCCTCCCCACCTGCACTGGCTGCACGGGCTGCACGGCGCGCGCGTCCGGCTCCTGGCCAAGCCGGCCGTCGCGCCGCACGCGGGCCGCGCACTGCGACGTCACTGATAAAAGCCGCCGCCGCCGTCGTCGGGCAAGTGCGGGCAGGCGTGCGCCACTCGCCGCGACCTGCCTCAACGGGGGCCTCTACGATAAAGTTGCCGACTGCCCTGCGCGGCCGCCTTCGCCAAGAGGGAAGGGGATGGGGGGATTTTGGGCGAGCGCCGCGGCCGGGACTCGAACCCGCGCCGGCCGGACAGCGTGGCGCCGCCCTTGAGGCGCCCTTGGGGCCCTCGGCCGCCCCCGTCCGTGGGGCCCCTTTCCCAGGCCCGCCAGGCCTCCACGTATCGACCACACTGCGAGACGAGCTGCTGCGGCTCAACGCGCCCCTTTCAACCGGCGGCCGCGGCACGCGGTTCGAAACCCGGCACAAAGTGGAAAACGGGAGCAGAGCGTCCAACCAGTCCAACCGGGGCAAAGGGTGGGGAGGGGCGGCTTGTCCTGTCCACCTTGCCGAGGGCCTCGGCGACGAGCTCGGCCAGGCTCGGCCACCACAAAGCGACACGTGGGGGAGGCGATTTGCCCTTACCCCCTTCCCGTGATGCAGCGCGCCGATCCGCCCCTCATCCATAATACACGGCGGCCACGTCGCCGTCACCGAGGCCGTCACAGCCAACGCCGCCATGCCTCGGCCACGCCGCCAACGCGGCGAGGGAGCGAGAGGGAAAACGCGGCCACAGTGTGCGAGACAAAAACAGCGGCCCGGAAAATAGGAAAAAAACAGAGGAAGGGAGAGAGAGAGAGAGACATCGGACGCGAACAAGGGGAGACGACGCGCCGCGACGCGCCGCGCTCCAGGTGTAGCGT